TTACACACTAAATTCAACTTTGTACTTTGTATAATTAAAACTGAAGATGACAGAAGAACTGTCGAAACATGTTTGGAAAAAGTGTCGTTCATTTTCTTAAATTTCTTCAATTTGAGATCTCATTGTCTCTTGTGATCCTTTCATCTGATCAGCGGTTTTGATTACTTCGGTTTGGTTTTACCCAAAGTGTTCTGAAGCTAAGCCGATGTAAACCCAGATTGTTTCGGATACACGATTGAAGAGTGCTCGAAACATACTTGGCAAAGGAGATTAATTAGTTACGAAAGCTGGGTAAAACAGAAAAACCATAACAACTACTCTGCTTACAAGGCTGTGAGCTTCCTGAACGAGTGAAAATTTATTTTTTGTTGTTTATTCATTTCTACTGAATGAATAAGTGGGATGTTTCTTTTGATCAATTACTTCAATATAGCTGGAATGCTGTTGAGCGTCGGCATGGGCAAGTCTAAGAAAGCTGACAAAAGCCTATCACAAATTAAAAATTACCAGAAATCCCTCGTAACCATTGTATTGAATTAAATTTGCAAAAAAAAAACAACAACAACAACAACAACAACAACAACAACCATACCTTTGAAAGATTATCTTCTACATAATCCCGATAAAACACGCCATCGTAGCTATAAGCAAGTCTGTACTTGGTAACCCAGTAGCTCCCGGACGCTTCTCCCTGGGTGCAGAATCTGGTCACCTGGGTCCAGCCTCCAAAATTTACTTGAAACCATTGTTGGGTATTTCTTTGGGAGGTCATCCAACCATACGGAAATTTGTACAGCCGACCATTGCTGGGACGATAGTTTGAGTTGTAAATGCTGGAAGCGGTGATGGACGAGTCAGGGATTTTGCCATCTTCCATACCCAGACCTTCCATACACGCTGGAGGTTTTGGAATGTCAAAACCTTAAACAACAAGAAGATCTAAATTAGTAAATAAATCTAAACGGCTCGCAAGGCCCTTATATTTTTGTCTGTGCCGCTCAGACCAAGCCTCTCTTGTAACACAAGACAATATAGGCTTGGTCGGACTTACGAACAAGGACAGACAAAGTTGTGAAAAATTTGCAAATTTTCTTAGCCAGGTGAGAAAAATATTTGGGGACCACGGTTTTACTTAACTTTTAAGTTAGACGAAACGCGTCAGAGAGTAAAGACGTTTTACGACTACTGTTCGCAGAGTGCTGTTCACTAGTTTGGTTTTTCCCAAATTCTTTTAAAAAATTGTCTCTTGTTGACATTTGTTCGTTATATCAGAATATATCATACGTTTGGGCTTCTGGATTGTAATAGTCATAACGAGGATTTCGTTATATTGAGGTTCTGTCCCATATACTTTAATATAACTTTGGCCGGGCTAAAAAGTATCGTTCGTCATACTGAGGACTTCGTTATATGGGGTTCGTTAAATCGATGTTCTACTGTAGTCCTAATTCGAAGTATAGCGGTCGTTGTATAGAAATGAAAAAAAAAAAGGCTATCGCTTTTCCTTTCGTTTGTAACACGCTTTTGACTGGTTTAAAAATTAAAACGATGATGACAACAGTGACAACATAAATGGCAGTGGTATTAGTAAAAGAAATATTTTATATTCCATGTGATCAATTGTACACGTGGAAAACAATGATTGGTTCATTTGTACCACGTGGTAAATAATCCTCCTCACTGATTGGCTCTATACTAAAGTGTCCCCGTGACGGAGTTTATAATAATAAAAATCGATTGAAAAAAGCTATTTCATTAAAATACTTTCAAGCTAAAAGAGAAAAAAGGAAATTTGGACCCATGCCTACCGGACTCGCAGCCATACATTTCAATCCTCATTGCGGTGTAACCGTAATAACCAGTCGGGTGGATACGAACATAACGAGCAATGATTGGTTCATCCAAAATGTTCACCTTTACAGATCGGTAATCGCTGTTCCCGTAATATTCCTGAGATGAACATCCATCGTCATTAAAAGAAATCAGTCTAATTTAAATAGCATTTAGAATTACATTTAGGTGCAGGTTAGAAAAAAAATGATTTATTGTCCTCTAAAAACAAAATGGATGGATGTTTTTGTAGAGTACCAACCCAAACAATACCCTCTTTACAATCACAATAGGCCGGATAGAGTTACGCTTAGGCCTACCGTCTACTCTGATCTGGACTAGTCGTCCACAAAAAGGAGCTTTAAAAAGAAAGCTCTTCAGAAATAATAAATTTTAACGCCCGATTTGCGTCCTAGTAAGGAGGAAAAACATTTGGAAAAGCGAGCATCCTTCGAAGACGCTAATGTCACTCCTCTTTGTCACTACTTGGTGGTATGATTAGACCTTAATTGTGCGCATGTCCAAAAATCCAGTCAAGCGTAACCTCTGTCGATGGTCTTTCTTCTATTTTTTTAATTTAAACATATTTTCTATTGTTTTTCCCAAAAGCACTTGGGCTAAACAAGGGGGATTACGATAAAATACGGGAGACATGTTATTCATTTTCCTATATGGCTAGTGTGGACGGAATACTTGTGTTACGCTTTTTTTAATAACTTTCGAAAACAACGTGTTCAGGTTGATTCCGCACAGGGTAGGACAAGCCTCGAAGCGCATTTAGGGCCAAATTTATCGAATACTTTTACAACCTACCCGTGGGACAGTGTAGGGCTTGTGCTCTTGAAACTGAAAAAGACTACCATCCAGGCTTGAGGAGACTACATACTTTGTGATATACTGATTAGCATTATGGCGACCTTGGGTGGCAATTTTCGTAACTTTGACAACTTTGCCGAAATCCACCTGGAGCCACTGGCCCTTTTTGTTATTTCCGGCCAAATATGTAGTCTGATGATTGAGTCTTCCCTTGTAAGGCTCCCAACCTGCTCCGCCATACTGGAAATTTCAATTCATAAAGAAAAAGAAAAGATGATCTCTCGTAACTCATGTAAGGATGAATATCTGCAAGATATGAAGACGCACTTAATCCTGATAGTTTGACCCCGCACACCTTTGGCCATTATCCCTATCGCCGGAGGAAGGAGGGGGGTGTGGAGGACTTCAGGAATCACATGGTTTTCATGAGGATCAATGACAGTATCTAAGCAACTGCACACTAACCCTTCCCCTAACCCAATGACAGTCAACTACTGAAAAGTTTGGGTTAAAGATGGGTTAGGGAAGGGGTAAGTGCGCAATTGTTTAGCTGCTGACATAGATCCCAAAATACTTCTGGGATCTTCGCAGCAGTTTCCTTTACCTTGGTCCTTCTTGGCTCAGTATCGCCAGTTTTTTCTGTTTTACTATCTCATCCGACTAGCTTGTTTTAGTCGCCCTCAAATTGAGCACGGTGGGATAAATGAATAATTATTTAAGATATCGTGATGTAGCTACCTTTGACATTATGTCTTTTGGGGAAATATTGACATAGACCACAGCAAGCATTTGAAGGGGATATTGCTCGAGGAACGACCCATGCTGTCAAGTAAAAAGTAAATATACAATACATTTATACATACCACGGTGGCAGCCTTCATTGCTGAGTTTGGAATCTTTCCACTTTCTATTCCTAGTGGTGCGTCACAATCTAGATATGGAAAATACCAAACGCCCAGTAAGGGAAGTAGGGACTACAACACTTTGAGAGGAGACGAATACCATCCGCAAATAGTTCATAAAGAATACCAAGAAGAGACACACCTGCACAACGATAGGCATAGAGGGTGGGGAAATAAATGAATCTAATTTCCCATTAAGCTGACCCGGTTATTTTCCTGCCCTTTGTGGAAAGTTTATGCCTCCTATATTTGAATCGGGTGTCTTATTTTCCCACGATAAGGTTATTTTAAATTATGCTTCGAAAAAGTTTTGTACATACCTCCTGCCACAAATCCTGGAAAATGAAAAGAAAAAACCCAGTTATCATGAAACATCTCTCATTTCTCTTACTTTATTTTGTCTCGCTGTTGCTTTTTTTTTTTGTTGGGAATTATTTGTTGGTGTATACATTTGCTGTCTGTGCCAGTAATCATGGGTTGTACTGACTCGATGATCTCTGATTCTATCACTCTAATTTCAGATCAAAAGCAATATTATTTAACAATCATTCACCGTAGTGGAGGTGAATGATAGTGTTTAGTATATACTAAAACAGCAAATAGCGTTGAGGGCGCGCTCTCATTAGCTATCTCAAACTATCTCTTAGCAACTAGCGGGGGATTGGCGTTCGAAAAGGTTGTGACAGCTGCAGATAGCTGCAGAATAAACGAGTTTAAATCATCTTTTTTGTAGTATATCGTCTTACTGTTTTAGTATGTTTCTTAACAACTCCTCGCCGATGTGGAGGTGGTTAGTGGTAAATGTTCACCACTAGCCACTGACACTGTAACAAATAAATTATTTTATTTCTGCTTGTATGCAAAAAAGAGACCTAAATTAAAATCTTAAACCATCAATCAGCGCGCGCGAAAAGCACCATGTATTTATGAAAAAAAAAATACTTCTGTGATATAATTTTTTATGTCACATAACATTCATAAGATCAGGAAGCTAATTGATGAGAATTTGGTGTTATATCCAAACTATATCCTCAGGTTCTTAAATTCTATGGTTCTCAAGGGAAATTTCAGCAATGATCTGATGGAAGAGGAAGAGTTGCTGATTACACATTTTTAGAATGTATTCAAGGACGGGAGTTGGAAAAACTACTTTTATTTGACCAAAAGTTGTTGTCTGCTCAGAGATTTTGGTTAGGGAGATAGACAAGGATCTTAAGTTAAAGCAAGTTGTTCCTTCAATAATTTACTTCTTATGCGTAAAGATATTTCATTTCGCAGTAGTTCAATCCCATCTAAGCACTGGAAATAACTCTACCTCACCCCACCCAGAGTAGGGATCATACGTGCGCCTCTCTCTTAGGCGCCTACAAGGCGCGCCAACATCAATTTCTTTTTCATTGAATAATTTGTTTTTATTCTAGCGACGAACTTCGCCGAAAAGCAGGGATTTTTCGTAGTCTAGCCCTTTCCTTCTCACATGAATAGCACTTTTCTTTGTTCCTTTTGGTGTTTTACTCCAGGCGTTTGGGAGAGTCAGTTCCTTTAACTTATCTTTTTCAAGACATTTGACGGAGAGTTGAATGAAAATATTACGAGCGTTGAAAAAAATGTTCAGGTTTTTGATCGTTAAATGTTGTGTTGCTCCGGAGCACAAGTGAAACACTCGGCTGAATATTACACTAAGGCATGTTACCCTAAAAGAAACCAGCAGGCGTCGCAATTTTCGGAAAATTGACGTGGACGTTGGTCTTCTTAACGAGCCGTGACGTGGCTTTCCCCTGACGAAGAGTTCTCTCAAGAAAAGCAGCATTAAAGATAAAATTATTGACAAAATAGAGCTCAAACAAACGTGGATGTGTCTTACTTACCAACTAAAAGAAAGAACTGCAACAACGGCAGAAACCACGCAGTACCCATCTTGTATTTCTCCAGGACTCAACCGTGTGTGAAGCGTCCCGTAGAACAAGATAAACTTTGAAAGGAAACCCTTCACAGCTGCCTTACTTATAGTTATTATTAATGAGTCAATTGTTATTCCCAGGAATTGTTCAGAGTAGTTTCTGTTAAGGAAATGGTCAAATTGGCTCAATTGTTCTTACCGACAATTGGTTCTTATTAACATGTTTCATCAGTTTAATCATGCATCAAAGTGTTAGGACGGTGTTGTTTTTCACGCGATAAAGCAAAACATTTCTGCTACTTTTTTCCATGTCCTTGTATCGAAACATCTACATTTATTCCTTGTATTTTACTTTTCTCTATATGCATCATTTGTCCCTAATAAAATTATGGACATTGTAAGACTTTGTAATTAGACTCCTTTCATAAGTTTTTCCCAATACCATTGTTTTCAAAATTACCACAAATTAGAAAGCGTGCAGATAATTAGGATTGGGAAATTTATCACGTGATCAAGGTATCGCTTTTAAGAATTTCAGGTAAAAATCTGTTTGTCAGGCATACTTTCCTGACAAAAAATCAGACAGAGAAGATAACTGACACTCAATTTCTACTTATTACTTTAAGACGCAGCGCATAACTGCAGAAGTCATCGTGAAGGTTTCATTGTAGATGGTTAAAGTGTCTGGTTTTCTAGAATTGTCCGATGTAATTTTCTATATTAGAAATGGCTGGTTGTTAAACAGTTGAATTAAATACAGCCAAAAGACTGGCTTTACTCCTATATCTGATGTGTCCAACGAAACACTGCGAATTGGATAGGGGCTTGAAAAAGCGTTCATTTGTCTCACCTTTTAATCGTGGCGTATTGTTATTAAATTGTAATTTGTAAATGGTAATAAGTATATTTTCGTTTTTTTCTTGATCCTGCTAATAAGTACTACAACTAACACAAAATCCTGGACTTTGCGAAAAATTCTGTGAGGGGTCTAGAATGTCCTCTGTGCTTGGAGGCGATGATAAGGGCACAAAAGTAAAAAAGGAGGAAAAAAAGAGCTTGGTGCTGTAAATAACATCCTTAGTGAGCCACTGCAGAACGTTAGCCACGCGTACGTTCCATTCACACCATTTTTAATCAGCAGAAGATGCTAGGGATGACGTTGAGTGTTTTTTTTTGTTTTTTTTAAGACAGGTTTTGCAATTTACTATGCGCAGGAAAGTCACAATTCTCATGACAATACAACGAGAAGGATTTTGATCATTTTGTTTTGCAGGTTACAATACTTGTAAATTTAATGAACAACGTCTTCTGATATTCTTCGAGTGAACAGAAATGAGTGGCTGAAATGGTTGTCTGAAAGAAGCGAGTAATTTCTGGCGCAGGTTATCTGTATCTTTTAGCATTCTAAGAGGAGCAAAATAAGCCTTATGTTAATGAAATATAAAACTTCACGTATAAATTTAGTGTATGAAAAGTTAAAAAACAGAACAATGCATTTTAAGGTAAATATTTATCAAATGGGTAGCGTCTATTGTTTAACGCAGTTGGAGAACGCGTTTATCACTATGGATTAACAACCATCTCGTTATTTTTTGTTTTTTTTTTATTATTCTTTAGCAAAACAGCAGCAAAAATTCATTCGTTAAAACTACTTAAGAGGTTAGAAAGTACAGAAGAAGCGAAGAAGTACCATTTCATTAAAGTTCGATGCCGTTTTTTTCGGGTTGTCTGAAGCATTCATACACAACTGCAACAACACGTAGATCCTCCGTTTGTGGAAAGGAAGTCCAGTAGAAAAAATAACGCGATAAATTTTGACCCACAAAACACCAGAAGAGATTTTATTAGATAGCTAACAGCACCCGTGGGCAAGATGAAACGAATCCTGTGTTCTGATTCGCTACCTAAGATTGGCCTGATTGTCCGCTCTGAATTTCCCGCTTTGATTCCGTGCAAGGAAGAACATTGCATGTAGAGGCGCACAAAGAGAATTCGAAATTTTTGGACAATGTCGGCAATGGAGTCGCAAATGCGACACGAAAAGTCGAAAAATAAAGATAACCAAGAAAATATAAATGAGTTTGGTGTGTTCAAAAACAAAATTCAAAAGACAGAGTGATATGAAAGTTAGAAGCGGTTTTGATTCACATTAACTCGAAACATTTCTGCTATGTAATAAATACGTCATTGACCAAGCTTGTCCAGTCAAGATGGCTGGATATAAGCCTTGTTCTTTTCAATGCGTTTTTGTGGACCTCAACGCTTGGTCAAAGAAGCATGCTCTATATAATGGTAATAGGACCGAGTGGAGTCCAATTCAGTCTGTAATCATACCAGTGATAAACAAAATTGGACGACCGCGAAGACAGAATTCCTCCCTCAGGCAACAAGTGATGAGAATACAGAAAGATATCAATTAGGGAATTATTAGACGATCCAATACCAAATTCTCTGAACTGACATCACAATCATTGCATGGCAAATTGTAAGGAGAATTGCCAAAAGTGATCTTAGGAATAAAATGTTGACACAAATTTTGCCACCACGATGTTTCTCAATACTGAAATTGTAATATTCATCAAAGAGAACAGAACGTTGTGTAGTTAATAGACTTCTTCAGTTTAATTGTATGTTTTGTTTGCCCTTTTCAGGTCTTAAAATTTATACGTGAAGTTTTATATTTCATTATCATAAGGCTTATTTTGCTCCTCTTAGTATGCTAAAAGATACAGATAACCTGCGCCAGAAATTACGCGCTTCTTTCAGACAACAATTTCAGCCACTCATTTCTATTCACTCGAAGAATATCAGAAGACGTTGTTCATTAAATTTACAAGTATTGTAACCTGCAAAACAAAATGATCAAAATCCTTCTCGTTGTATTGTCATGGGAATTGTGACTTTCCTGCGCATAGTAAATTGCAAAACCTGACTAAAAAAAACAAAAAAAAAACACTCAACGTCATCCCTAGCATCTTCTGCTGATTAAAAATGGTGTGAATGGAACGTACGCGTGGCTAACGTTCTGCAGTGGCTCACTAAAAAGATATTATAAAGAAATTATATTATAAAGATATTATTTACAGCACCAAGCTCTTTTTCTCCTTTTTTACTTTTGTGCCCTTATCATCGCCTCCAAGCACAGAGGACATTCTAGACCCCTCACAGAATTTTTCGCAAAGTCCAGGATTTTGTGTTAGTTGTAGTACTTATTAGCAGGATCAAGAAAAAACGAAAATATACTTATTACCATTTACAAATTACAATTTAATAACAATACGCCACGATTAAAAGGTGAGACAAATGAACGCTTTTTCAAGCCCCTATCCAATTCGCAATGTTTCGTTGGACACATCAGATATAGGGGTAAAGCCAGTCTTTTGGCTGTATTTAATTCAACCGTTTAACAACCAGCCATTTCTAACATAGAAAATGACATCAGACAATTCTAGAAAACCAGACACTTTTACCATCGACGATGAAACCTTCACGATGACTTCTGCAGTTATGCGCTGCGTCTTAAAGTAATAAGTAGAAATTTGAGTGTCAGTTATCTTCTCTATCTGATTTTATGTCAGGAAAGTATGCCTGTAAAACAGATTTTTACCTGAAAATTCTTAAAAGCGATACATTATCACGTAATAAATTTCGCAATCCTTATTTTTTTCTACGCTTTCTAATTTGTGGTAATTTTGAAAACAGTGGTATTGTGAAAAACTTATGAAAGGAGTCTAATTACAAAGTCTTACAATGTCCATAATTTTATTAGGGACAAATGATACATATAGAGAAAAGTAAAATACAAGGAATAAATGTAGATGTTTCGATACAAGGACATGGAAAAAAGTAGCTTGTTCTATCGCGTGAAAAACAACATCGTACTAACACTTTGATGCATGATTAAACTAATGAAACATGTTAATAAGAACTAATTGTTGGTAAGAACAATTGAGCCAATTTGACATTTCCTTAACAAAAACTACTCTGAACAATTCCTGGGGAATAATAATTGGCTCATTAATAATAACTATAAGTAAGGCAGCTGTGAAGGGTTTCCTTTCAAAGTTTATCTTGTTCTACGGGACGCTTCACACACGGTTGAGTCCTGGAGAAATACAAGATGGGTACTGCGTGGTTTCTGCCGTTGTTGCAGTTCTTTCTTTTAGTTGGTAAGTAAGACACATCCACGTTTGTTTGAGCTCTATTTTGTCTATAATTTTATCTTTAATGCTGCTTTTCTTGAGAGAACTCTTCGTCAGGGGAAAGCCACGTCACGGCTCGTTAAGAAGACCAACGTCCACGTCAATTTTCCGATTGGTACTTTTCGCGCGCGCTGATTGATGGTTTAAGAGTTTAATTTAGGTCTATTTTTTGCATACAAGCAGAAATAAAATAATTTATTTGTTTCAGTGTCAGTGGCTAGTGGTGAACATTTATCGCTAACCACCTCCACATCGGCGAGTTGTTAAGAAACATACTAAAACAGTAAGACAATATACTACAAAAAAGATGATTTAAACTCGTTTATTCTGCAGCTATCTGCAGCTGTCACAACCTTTTCGGGCGCCGATCCCCCGCTAGTTGCTAAGAGATAGTTTGAGATAACTAATGAGAGCGCGCCTTCAACGCTATCTACTGTTTTAGTATATACTAAACACCATCATTCACCTCCACTGCGGTGAGTGATTGTTAAATAATATTGCTTTTGGTCTGAAATTAGAGTTGATAGAATCAGAGATCATCGAGTTAGTACAACCCATGATTACTGGCACAGACAGCAAATGTATCCACCAACAAATAATTCCCAACAAAAAAAAAAAAAAACCAACAGCGAGACAAAATAAAGTAAGAGAAATGAGAGATGTTTCATGATAACTGGGTTTTTTCTTTTCATTTTCTAGGATTTGCGGCAGGAGGTATATACAAAACTTTTTCGAAGCATAGTTTAAAGTAACCTTATCGTGGGAAAAAAAGACACCTGATTTATATATAGGAAGCATAAACTTTCCACAAAGGGCAGAAAAAAAACCGAGTCAGCTTTGTGGACAATTTATTTATTTAATTATCTTCCCACCCTCTTTGCCTATCGTTGTGCAGGTGTGTCTCTTCTTGGTATTCTTTATGTCTTATTTGCGAATGGTATTCGTCTCCTCTCAAAGTGTTGTAGTCCTCACTTCCCTTATTGAGCGTTTGGTATTTTCCATATCTAGATTTTGACGCACCACTAGGAATAGAAAGTGGAAAGATTCCAAACTCAGCGATGAAGGCCGCCACCGTGTTATGTATAAATGTTATGTATATTTTCTTTTTACTTGACAGCATGGATTGTTCCTCGAGCAATACCCCCTTCAAATACTTGCTGTGGTCTATGTCAATATTTCCCCAAAAGACATTATGTCAAAGGTAGCTACATCACGATATCTTAAATATTCATTTATCCCACCGTGCTCAATTTGAGGGCGACTACAACAAACTAGTTGGATGAGATAGTAAAACAGAAAAAAATGGCGATACTGAGCCAAGAAGGACCAAGGTAAAGGAAACTGCTGCGAAGATCCCAGAAGTATTTTGGGGTCTATGTCAGCAGCTAAACAATTGCCCACTTACCCCTTCCTTAATCCATCTTTAACCCAAACCTTTCAGTAGTTGACTGTCATTGGGTTAGGGGAAGGGTTAGTGTGCAGTTGCTTAGATACTGTCATTGATCCGGATTTTCACCCAAATGAGACAACAATAGGCCATTTTACAGTTATGAACTTAGTTGCCAAGCCTTTGATTTGGAGTGAGGCTGAAGATGACCATGTTGTGATAGAGATTAGTATCTAGTTAGCATGATAACAAAGTAATTTGCATTTGAAAAGCAGCAACGTTTGTATCCTAACAAGGTCATCCGTAGCCTCACCCCTGTTCAAAGGCTTGGCAACCAAGCGCACAACTGTAAAATGGACTACTGCACCATTAATTACACTTAAAAGCCAAAGCAGATACAATCAGAAGGAGAAACAAATGAATATATGCAACCTTTTTGGTGAAGAGGTTGACGCAAAAGCGTACGCGACAACCCCGAAAGGTAAAGAAAGTAATTTCAGGTCACGGCTCCTTGACCTCAGGATTTCAGGGATCATAACTTACATCACTGTAAGGAAGAGACATAGCGGGTGTAATCAATTTATTTCATTCACAAGACTGACTTTTACTTCTAAAGGAAAAAAGGAACGAACTGACCCTAATGAAAAACGAAAACCATGTAAACTCAACGAGTTTACATCGTTTCTTTGACCTAAAGAAAAAAATCTTTAAAACTTATTGTTCAATTTTTTTGTTCCTCTCGTATTCACTTGCATGTTGGTGTTCATCCCTTGTTCACTAGTGATTTTATGTATATTCATTTGTTTCACTTGTAAAAAGTCATTGATCACCGGATACCCGGATTATCTTTCGAGATTGTCGCGTGAACTTTGTCCTTTTCCGACAATCTTTCTGCAGACATTCGTAATAAGCGCACCTGTATTGCCTTGTAAGGTGACATTTCAGTCTCTAGGTAATAAAATTTGTCAAAGACGAAATTCGTAAAGGACTGGAGGCCGGACATTGTATTCCAGGAGAGTTCTCCAAATTTCCTTTTTTTCTCTTTTAGCTTGAAAGTATTTTAATGAAATGGCTTTTTTCAATCGATTTTTATTATTATAAACTCCGTCACAGGGACACTTTAGTACAGAGCCAATCAGTGAGGAGGATTACTTACCACCTGGTACAAATGAACCAATCATTGTTTTCCATGTGTACAATTGATCACATTGAATATATAATATTTCTTTTACTAATACCATTGCCATTTATTTTGTCACTGTTGTCATCATCATTTTAATTTTTAAACCAGTCAAAAGCGTGTTACAAACGAAAGGATTTTGTTAGGTGTTCTGATCAAAAATGTATCGTGTAAAATTCATTTTGGTCAACATATGTTAATGTTGCAATGTGGTTTTCACTAAATTTTCTTCACTTTAGACTTGAAAAAAAATACATTTTTGAGCGCAGAAGGCAAGAAATTGAATTATATTTGAGTAACTTTCCGTAGATCTCACGCCTAACCTCTCTATTTTAGAAAAGACTGCACAAGTAAATTTCATTTTTCGTCCATTTCTTAAGAATTTTGGTATCTTATCTAACATCTGAGATTTTTCCTTCAGCCAAGTGCGCTGTTCGGTGAATTTGCGCACACTTAATTTCGATATGATAGCAATGACTTTCAAAGCTAAAATTTCCTCGTCTCAACCCTCAACCAAAAACCGCTCCATGGCACAGCGTCAGCTTTTCTTACAAAAGTTTGACAACGCTCAAAACAAGACTACAAATCAGGGTAAAATTTCCGCACAGCCCCATACTTCATCATGCATTCAGTTCTTGAAGAGAGAAAACAATGACTAAAACAATACATTGCCATTGGGAAAACAGATTTGTTTTACAATAGTATGGGGCTGTGCGGAAATTTTACCCAAATCAGCCGGAAAGCCGTAATTAAATAAGCTTTGTGAACGAAGAAATCTCAAGTTTCCCTTTTCTCACCTTTTGTTTCTTTTCACTTATTTATATGAGGGTATCGATGTTTTTTTTCTCGCTTAATTTCCCTTTACAGCGGTGTCTTCTTACTTTCGTTTTCCTTTGAAATTATTCGCGGGAAATTTGCGTGCAGCCGGCCAAAATTGATCCCCTTGCGCATGCCTTACGTTTGACCACTGTGTTTTCACTTATACGACTACAATGGTTGTTCAAAGCATTCATTATTATTAATTCATTATTATTTTTACTTCAGACCTAACATTTTTCCGCAAATTCTTGTTAAGCAGATTTAAACCTAATTTAGGTTTTCCTCTGATCAATCTTCGGACCTTAAAAAATATTTCTTAAACTCGCGAGAAAAGCACTTGAGATATCATTACAAACTGACCTGTATTGACTGAATCTGTCTCCGTGTACTCCATCTTGTTTCTGATCTTTTGTCTTCCATTCTTGCTATATGATTACCTAAAGAATGATTCGAAACAATTTTATTGACAAGGAAAACGGCAAAGTTTCCGCACAGCCCCATACTTCATTATGCATACAGTCCTTTGTTAGAAGAAAACAATAGCGCAAACAATAGATTACCTTTGGGACTATTCGCTTTGTTCTCAAGAAGTTGAATTTTTTCTAAGTCTTTTTTCAAACCTTCAAAAAATCACCGTTTTTGAACTAAAAATTGCGCTTAATCGAGCGCTGATTTTATACTTTAGGACTTCTAGAAATTAAAACAGCTTAAATTCCGCCTCATATTAGCCTCAAAATTGTAGTTTTTGAAAGCAAACATTTGTAAAACGATAAAAATAAAATCGATGCTCACCTTTAAATTTGTTCGTTGTCGTTGTCGTTTTTACTTTTCCCTTTACAAGTAGAGTTGCTTACTTTCTTCATTCAATTTTTATTTTCATCCGCGGTGGTTGCGTAGACAGGCACATACAGGGGCACAAGGAGCTTGGTTTTTATGTTATCTTTCGAACATCATATACTTCGGCGATATGCTCGATTATGTTTCCAAGAGGATCTTCTCCATATTGCTTACGCCACAACCACTCCTGTAGGTAGCTACCGAAGAGATCTTTGGACATTCCTGTACGAGGCATACTTCGTTTGATTCCCCACCATGTATTTTCAATGCGCTGAGTATGAGCGCCTGTGTCTGGGTCTACGAAGTTCAGGCTGTGGTTCACTGTGAGATGATTGTAGCCCTCGTCCTGTAGGCAATCATAAGCTTTCCACATGTCGCTCATCACGCATGTTCCCGGCAATATTTGAGCGCGTATAATGGGTATGAGTGTATCTTTATCCCTGCGCTCTACCGGTACAAGGAAGCAGGCCTTGGTTTCACGGCAAATGCCACCAAAGACCCACTTCCCTTCGACGTAGCGACCGCGGTGATACTTCATCTTGCCAAACTTGGACTCATCAATCTCAACAGTAGTACCACGTCCACCTATTGGCCCCTTATGATGTTGCATAATTCTTTCGGCACAAACCTCACGGCAGTAGTGATACCAATCTACCACCGTTTCTGTGGACGTTTGTTCGTCGCCCAGGGAGGTTTCGTGCACTGCTTGTGAAGTGGTAAAATTATTTGCCCAAGCGTATGTTAGAGCTAATATTTTTTCAATGGAAAGCTTACTACCAGAAAACCAAGAATTCTGGCGTATTGATGCCATTCCATTGCAGTTTTTCTTAGAGCATCGCCATTCGTACCCATCTCGCGATGAACTTCGTCGAGTCCAACGTAGTGTATTGCAGCATGTACTGTTGGGACATGGAAACGACGACGCGAGCAGGTTGTGCTCCTTGCACCACTGTATGTACCTGTCGTGGTCCAATAATATTTTAGTTAGTTTGTAGAGGTTCATTTCTCGGGTAGATGGAAAAGACGACGACGACGAAGCAGCAGACGACGAAGACATGATACGACGAAGACGGAGAAACAAACACGTACGAACGGACGAAGTACCAACAGCAGAAGTATTAAGGACGATTCAAAAACTGGAGATGAGAAAATAAATTGAATGAAATTGATGAAAATGAACTCGTAAAGATTTTGAATACTATGACCAAGGTTTTTTTAAGCAATGAAATTCATTAGCAATGAAATTTATTAGAAAGACTGCACTTTTATACTTCGATTAAACAAAGATTAACATTTCATTTCTTCGTACAAAATCCAACATGTTTTAAAGGTGAGGAAAATGATTTCAATGTTAATTTTTGGAATTTAAATAAGGTATTAGAAATATAATTTTGAAAGTTACCCATTATTGGCAACAAGCACATGTAGATCAATGGTATAGAGGATAGACTGCTGGTCTGACGAAGAAGATAGAGAATTGAGAGTTCGAATCCTACAGGTAACGTAAATAAAAGAAAAAATACCCTGAGAAATACCCGCCAGAGAAATGGGGAAGAGAAAGAGGGGAAAATGGAGAGAGAGAGGGAAAAACAGCGCGGTGAAAAAAATCCACTTTTATTAATGCAGTAAGTAGTAATTAGGGATGTATATATTCAATTACCAAGGGAATTGTCTATTGTATTCAAAGACAAAGAGTCGAATGCATAATTAATAAGGACTGCATGCATAATGAAGTATGGGGCTGTGCGGAAATTTTTCCAGGAAAACGCAACAACAATCATAACAGAGTAGGTTTCACGGTTCACCACGCGGCAATAAAATTTCATGCAGTGGCGGACTGCTTTGGTGAAAAATTTGACGAGTCAGTATGGAATATTTATGGCTCTAATCCCTCCAAACCTCCAAACAATATTTATAAGGGTAATTCAGTATTATACACTGAGTTTATAACGAAAATTGGCCACCGTAAAGAGCTTCAAAGTAGAGGTTTCGAGCGTTAGCCCCTCGTCAAAGCAAAATGTATTTTTGAATGTTTGTTTTGATTTTAGAACATCAGAAATGTATTAGGTCAGCCTCCATGCAGTGCTCTTTGGAGAAATATCAAAAAAGGGTTTAAACTGTGCGAAAATGGTTTCTTTCGTACTATTTGTGACGACTATTCGTCTTAAAATTCTTTAGAAGTACTCCCTCGGCAAGATTGCGTACTTTTCCTAACATCCCAAATATGATAACGTTTTCTTCGTTTTTGAATCCGTAGAGCGGTTTAAGCTAATCGATAAGATTTTCAAGCTCTGCTCCAAAGAACCGTTAAGCAATAGCCTCAAACAACGTCATAAAAACATTATCTCGGGATTACACTGATGCATTCGAAAAATTTCATTATGGAGCCTCACACGTCTCCGAGTATCGCTCTTTCGGTCAGAGGCATCAGATGGAATGAAGAGCTACAGCGCTATCACAACACACAAAATTGCAATAAACTTAAACCTGAGGAGAAATAAAGAGAAGCTCAATGACTTACATGAGCTCATTGCGTCTGTTGGCTTATCATCCCTGGTTGCATGTGCGAGGACCGTTGCAGACCAAAGTTTGACACTCAAGACACCAAACATTTTAAATTCTACCGTCAGATGATCCAACTGTCTACAACACCTAAGTCGAAGAGTTGTTCGTCCAAAAACTGCATTTTAAAGCTTTAAACAAGGCAGCAAAGCGTGGTTCTGACTTCCACGTGAAAATATCCTGACTCAAGTGAGATGAATACTTAATGATCCCAAATACATTTGCAATTCAATTTGAACTTTCCCCGTGCATCACGATCAGTATTCAAAATAACACCGTGAGTAGTGGGGCAGAATGTTTGATTGCTGATAGTAATATTTTTATCCCGGAGGTCTAAGATTTTTCTGCGGTAAGAGACTTTCAGAGCAAAAACTAAAAAAATTCCAAAAGTATCGACCACCAGTTTATTTGTAAACGTAGATCGTCTGTTTCGCGGTGTTCGTCCTTTTTCTCATAAATAACTAATGGCAGCAACTAAACATTCGGCGATGACAACCACTAAAACGATTTTAGAGGTATATTAATAATAATAATAGTAATGAAAGCGACGATAATGATGATAATAAAAATAGTGATAACCAATAATAAAAAAATAATGATGGTATCTAATAGTATATGATAAAAATTGACCAAGAGGGCTGAATTTTCTCTTTCAAAGAAGGAAAGAATTCCTTCATTTTCCGAGATCTTGTAAACACTCGTTTATAACAATACTAAAAGAAGGGGACAGAGGACAAACGTTAACCTGAAGAGTCCCTTTCAACGTATTTCTCATCTGACATCAACAAACTAAGAAATCAGAACCAAAGGAAGCGCTTACGTACAAGCATCCTCTAAAAAGCATTAAAACACAAGGTGCCAAAGTAACAAATAAAACACAAAGAGCGCGCGAGACCTCACACATAATAAATTGAATACAGAACTAGACGTTGCATGTGATACTACAGGTGACAAATAAAAAAAGGAAAAATCCCTGTGCTGCGCGAGATATTAAAATAAACGAATAGAGCACAATATGCACTTTGTGCAAGATACTACGCGTAACAAGTAGAACACAGAACAAAACAGTGCACGAGATACTACACGTAACAAGTAGAACCCAGAACAAAAACAGTGCGCGAGATACTACACGTAACAAGTAGAACACAGAACAAAACAGTACACGAGATACTACACGTAACAAGTAGAGCACAGAACAAAACAGTGCACGAGATACCACACGTAACAAACAAAACACATAAGAAACAGTACGCAAGATACTACACGTAACAAGTAGAACACAGAACAAACAGTGCGTGAGATACAACACGTAATAAGTAGAACACAGAACAAAACAGTGCGTGAGATGAAACACGTAAAAAGTAGAACACAGAACAAACAGTGCGCGAGATACTACACGTAGCAAGTAGAACACAGAACAGTGCGTGAGATACTACACGTAACAAGTAGAACACAGAACAGACAGTGCGTGAGATACAACACGTAACAAGTAGAACACAGAACAAACAGTGCGTGAGATACAACACGTAACAAGTTGAACACAGAACAGACAGTGCGTGAGATACAACACGTAACAAGTTGAACACAGAACAAAACTGCGTGAGATGAAACACGTAAAAAGTAGAACACAGAACAAACAGTGCGCGAGATACTACACGTAGCAAGTAGAACACAGATCAAACAGTGCGCGAGATACTACACGTAACAAGTAGGTCACAGAACAAACAGAGCGTGAGATACAACACGTAACAAGCAGAACACAGAACAAACAGTGCACGAGATACTACGAGTAACAAGTAGAACACAGAACAAAGCAGTGCGTGAGATATAACACGTAACAAGTAGATCGCAGAACAAACAATGCACGAGATACTACACGAAACAAGTAGAACACAGAACAAAACAGTGCATAAGATACTACGCACGTAACAAGTGGAACAGAACAAAACAGTGCGCGAGATACCACACGTAACAAATAGAACACAGAACAAAACAGTGTTCGAGATACTACACGTAACAAGTAAAACACAGAACAAACAGTGCCCGAGATACTACACGTAACAAATAGAATGCAAAAACAGTGCACGAGATACTACACGTAACAATTACAATACAGAACAATACAATGCGCGAGATACTACGCGTAACAAGTAGAACACAGAACAAAACAGTGCTCGAGATACTACATGTAGCAAGTAAAACACAGAAAAAAACAGTGCACGAGATACTACTCAGAACAAGTAGAACACAGAACAAAACAGTGCCCGAGATACTACACGTAACAAGTACAACACAGAACAAAACAGTGCACGAGATACTACTGAGAACAAGTAGACAAAGAACAAAACATTGCCCGAGATACTACACGCAACAAGTAGAACACAGAACAAAACAGTATGCAAGATACTACACAGAACAAGTAGTACACACAAAAAAACAGTGCGCGAGATACTACACGTAACAAGTAGAACACAGAACAAAACAGTGCGCGAGATACTACAAGTAACAAGTAGATCACAGAACAAACAGTGCGCGAGATACAACGCGTAACAAGTAGAACAGAACAAAACAGTGCACGAGATACTACACGTAACAAGTAGAACACAGAACAAAACAGCGCACGAGATACTACCCGTAAAAAATAAAACACAGAACAAAACAGTGTGCGAGATACTACACGTAACAACTAGAACACAAAACAAACAGAACAAACAAATAGAACACAGATTATACAGTGACTGAGATACTACACGTAACAAATTGAACACAGATTATACAGTGTGCGAGATACTACACGTAAGAAATAGAACACAGACTATATAGTGTGCGAGATACTACACGTAACAAATAGAACACAGATTATACAGTGTGGGAGATACTACACGTAACAAATAGAACACAGATTATACAGTGTGGGAGATACTACACGTAACAAATAGAACACAGATTATACAGTGTGGGAGATACTACACGTAACAAATAGAACACAGATTATACAGTGTGCGAGATACCACACGTAACAAATAGAACACAGATTATACAGAGTGCGAGATACTACACGTAACAAATAGAACACAGATTATACGGTGTGCGAGATACTACACGTAACAAATAGAACACAGATTACACAGTGTGCAAGATATTACACGTAACAAATAGAACACAGATTATACACTGTGCGAGATACTATACATAACAAATATAACACAGATTATACAGTGTGCGAGATACCACACGTAACAAATAGAACACCGAACAAACAGCGCGAGAGATACTACACGAAACAAATAGAACGCTTAAGAAGCAATACCAGAGATTCTACACCTAACAAGTAAAACAAACCTCAAAGCCGCTGTGGAACCGTCGCATGTGACGGAACTACACAACTGTACAACTGAAGCGTAGGAGACTATAAGTGGGGCAGTTAATCGGGCTGCTTTACAATCCAAACAAAAAGAAGCGGGGGGGGGGGGAGGGGGCGGTGTACTTCTTTCCCCCTCTCTTTTCCGCATTCTTGAAAGGTGTACATTTGGGGAAGTATATTTTTAAAGAGAACTTTACCGTAAAGCTAAATATCAGATAATAAACTCTCACAGAGGTTTTAATGTTCCTTTTTATTCTCAACAGACTAATACCCACGTGCTTATATTTCAATCTTAATAATAGATATTCATTTTCCGTAATTTTGGAAAGCCATTTCACATCTGGTTCGGATAATAACCCTCTGACATCTGTAAGAAACGTATGAATAGAAATAAATTGATATTTGCATGATGAAATTTAATTCAAAAAGTATTCACACAAAAAGGAATGTAATTGAGCTCAAAAACTATGAGAAATTTCCAATTTATTGTTGTGCGTAATCGGGGACTGTGTTTGAGAAAACTCGCGCAGCACTTTAAACCAGATGGAAGACTGAATCCAAGTGCACGCTGGTCAGTCATATTTGAAGGGGAAAAAAAAAGGAGAAACATACCTTATCCTTGCAGCTGATAAACGAAGATATCAGCGTTAATCTCGGCTCCAACACCGTTCCCAGTCTTCTTCGAGATTGTACACGCATTAGATTTTCCGTAGTCGTCATATACCGAAGCTGCATTGTCAGCAGACCAACATCCTTTATCGTCGATACCAAAGGTTTTGTAGCCAAACTTCTCGGCCTTCTCTTGGCAGTACTCAACCATAGCTTCAGTACCGGACACACTCCCGACATTTTTGTCGAAAGCTTGGGGCAAAATTGCAGGGGCACTGTTTAAAAAGCAGTCCACTGCCTTAAATTCACCTGTTTTTAAAAGAAACGTGTTTAAAAGCGTTCTTTTATTAAAATATAAACTTAACATAAAATTATAGAAGATTTCACACGCAAGCTTCCTGGCGAAAAATGAGGCATGCTCTCGCGCTATGTTCGCTTTTGTTAATTTCAAAGAAATATTATGATATTCTGTGACGAAACCAGTGTGAAACTATTACGAACCAAAATTGAGGTGAGAACTTGAACTTTCATGATCATTTCGTTATGAGTGGAAATTTCACTGTGAAGTCGATTTAACTACATGGGAGTCAAAGGTTTCCTGCAATTTGACTTTCAGGTATACACGCAGTTTTAAAAATGTTTTCGCGATTATAGCTAACCCCCCCCCAAAAAAAAAAAAAAAAAGAAAGAAATTCTGCATGCGCAAACTCATCTCACATGTCGGTGCTGTGCGAAAAAAAGCACAGATTCCTTTTTGAGATGTGTCGGCTTAGCAATAAATAAAAGACGTCACTTTTAAGTTCCTCGCTCATTTGGACATTATATGATCTAAAACTGAACAGACACAAGGCAAATTGGGATCCACTTGTTGTGTGACACTCCCGTCGCTTGTGTATATCACTATTCACATACGAACAGGTTCGTTATGATCCTTTACCTTTGCCATCCATGCGATACACGAACACTGTGAGGGACTCTGTAAAGCCAGTACCATAGGCTTTCTTTTTTACATAGTCCCGATTTTCCAATCTTATCGTAGGATTTCTCTGGGTTATCACTTGTCCAGCATCTTTTGTCATCCATACCAAACAATTTGATTCCTTGAGCCTTAGCCTCTTTTACACATGCGTCGAATCTCTTGCCAATTTGAGAGATGCTTCCTGCTCTTAAGAAATACTTATCGAGTGCTTTAGCTTTCATAATATAGCAGCCCATTGGCTTCCAGGCAGCTGTTGATCAAAAAACAAAGTTAAATCGCTCGAGACTTTCCCTATTCCATTACTCAGCTCAAAATGTAAAAACCTATCGGTGAATTAAATTAATTTCTCAGAAACCATGCCAGGAAACTAATTCTCCAATCAGTACGCTATTTATGTGATGTTAATTGTGGCGTCTGTGCGCGTAAAATACCTCTTAATTACCGAGTGCTAGGTCCGTACTGTAAGCTACGGACCAAGTTTTGTCCGCTCAGATTTGTGGCCCAAGCCTAAAGCACGCGCCCATAAATCCGAGCAGAAAAGAACGAGGTTTTGTAACTTAATTACGGACTGGGTAAACAAGGTTAGAAAGATATTTATTATATCTCTTGGTTCAAATAGAGGGGGAAGATTTCTATTCAAACAAACTTTTGAAACTAGCAGGCGATACAGAGAAGTACGTCCTGCTTAATTTACTAATCATAGCGCACGTACCAACTGAGAGATAAAATTAAGCTTGATATCAACTAATGATTTGTTTCACGTTTTCATTTGACTGGTCGAGAGTGGGAACATAAGTTTTTCTACCCCAATCAGAGAGCGCATCCTAGTGTCGAAAAACCAACATAATCCTGGATCACTCTCGCCATTGGATTCAAAATTGCTCAAATTACAACACTGAAAAATAAGTACTTCCGGTGGATCATCGTGTGTATAAAAATGATCTGTCAGTATTGTAACACATGAACCTTCATTTTGATTGAAGATGCAAACTCGAATCGTAAACATAGAGCGCTTTTCGATTGTGTCGTAAAACTAAAATCAAAGTAATCACAACAACAACCAATCAGAAGAAAGGAAATAGCTATAAGAGCCAATGAGAAATCAAAGTAGACGCAGCCAAACTGCCTAAAGCGCGGGAAAATGCGGGTGACCAAGTCGTGATTGTTTTAGTTTTGCATCCGACTGGTTGAGAGAAAGGCGTGAATTTCTGGACCAATCATAGAGCGGAGCAAAAACAAAGCGATCACGGGTCACTTTAGACACTCAATTAAAAATTTCCCTAAATCAGCCAATTAGCGACCAATTCGTCCCCAGCTGGAGAATTCTGAGTTTTTACCAATCAGTTTTATCCTTTCTGCGTTACGATAAGGTTCGAAAATCTTGAAATTTTAACCTTAAATTCCAGGGTCAATGAAACCCTTCTCCAATCTTCTTCATCGCTAATTATCCTATCCCTTTCTTGGTTTATTATGGACTCTTTTCCTTCCTCTTTCTTATCGAGCTAAAATTTTGTACCCCTATATTTTCGATGGTAGTCCTGCATGTTGCAAAAAAAAGAAAGACTCAAAATATGTTGGCGGAACTCCTCTGAGTTTTCATAAATGTGCCATAAAAGAGTCTACTTACGTCCACAAGGATTTGTGTTGCATTCCTTAGTTTCTTTACTTGGTCCAAGGACATTACATTTCTTTCCTCCTTTTGACGGCTTCGGTTTGTTGCATCTTCGCTTTCTTGTTTGTTGTCCTCCGCCACAAGTTTTGCTACATTTACCCCACTTGCCCCATTTACCGTAACCACCGTCAACTGCACATAAACAAATGGTTATATTAATCATTGCACTTGTCCAGGAAAATATTGCCGGCGAATCAAATCTGTCGTGGAGTTACGTCCAGTCAGGAGCATAATGACCCTGTACAATTGCCCTTACAGTTACAACTGTTCAAATCACTTACATTAGCAAATTTCTCTCTAGGATAACTTTTCTACGACAAGCTAAGTCTCTTTGTTTAAAAGCTGGAACGTCAGCTTATGAAAAGAGCGACTAGTCAGGAAAACCTGGCCAATGGAGATCTACATGGCTTTTTTACATTCACGAAGAGTTTTTGTTTTAACAACAAGCATTACTAAAGTTAAGTTTAAATTTTTTTGGGAGGAAAGTATCTCTTGTAATCAGACTGAATTCCTTTATTGCTATGCCGGAAGTTGAAGTAACTTTAATATTCTGCAATCCTAGATTACAAACAGGAATCCACGCGTGGCCATGAAATGACCTCTTTTTTATCGATTTGCCCTTCTTGACTGTCAGTATCAACGAAGTAACCGCAGAAAACACGAATGAGTGAAATAGCTTGCAAAATGAGACCGGAACCCCTACTCTGCTTTCATCAGTAATACTTTGAACAATAAATTGCGTACAGCGTTTTGCAAAAATCAGATATGTGCAGGGCGTTAAGAGCTAGTTACTCTAAAAAATGCGTGCCATCGATTTGGAACTATCAATTGATTAAAACCACAGCATTTAGAAACATAAAAGAGGGGTAACTTAAAAGGTAAAAAAGAAGGACATTTTCCCTACTACATTGTCTGGTGCTTTATCATTCATGTATCATTTTACCAAATAAAGCCATGATAACGTGCAAAATATGCCACGGTATTACTTTAAACAGCAGGGCAAAAATACGGCGCAACAAAATGGCCGCACTGAAAAATCCAAACCTTTTTTCGTTTTTTTGAACGTGAATTTTAGAGAAACAAAATTTAATCGCGATAGAATTTGTTGCCCTCCACTGTGAAGTACTACGTTCGTGTCTCTGATTTGACAAACGATGTATTTTCGCAGTCTTTTGTTCAGCACGCGTGAAATAAAGTGTGTATACTTACCGGGGCATTTGGAGACTTTCGGTTTGCACTCCTCCGTCTCAGTGTCCTTTCCAAGTCTAGAGCAGTCTTTACCGCCATTCGCAGGTTTTGGACTGTCGCACAGCCTGTCACGTCTTCTTGTGCCTTTCTTGCTTCCGCAAGTAACTGAACACTCGCTCCACTTTCCCCATTGGCCGTATCCACCATCAACTGCAAAATACACACAGCAGGTTTTTAATCATGCACAATAGAGCAGTTTTCAATGGAGTTTCATAATACCAAACCCAAAACAATCACAACAACCAATCATAGGAAGGGAAATGTCACCAGGTGCCAATGAGAACTCGAAGTAAAAGCAGTCCAACCGCCTGAAGCGCGGGAAAACGCGTGCGACCAAGTCACGACTGGTTTTAATTTTAAATCTGATTGGTTGAGAAAGTGGCGTGATTTTTGTGGACCAATTACATAACGAAGTAAAGCAAAACAAAGCAATCTCAGATTTTTTTCGTCACTTGATTTAAATGAATTGCTCTTTTTAGCGATGTAATAATGCTAGACCAAAGAAATCAATAGATTTTTGCTGCATTACTGTAATATAAGGCACGAGGACAGATAAGCTACGATCAATCACATATCTATATCTGAGAAACCCAATCCTATAGAAGGGTTATAGTGTGCCTCTGCGATCCGGTGTGTTCCATTCAACGTCCCTACCCCCTCCACTGTAAAAGACAAAGAAAACGATGATATCAGAAAGATAATAATCACAACGGGGGCAAATATGAATACGTACTGGGGCATGGAGCAGTACCACATTCCTGAGTCTCACTTGACGGTCCAAGACCTGAACAGTCTCTTCCCCCATTCAATGGCATAGGGTTGGTACACTGTCGATGGCGGTTGCGTCTTCCTCCACCGCATGTCAAGGAGCAATCTGACCACTGCTCCCATTGGGTGTAACCTCCGTCAACTTTAAAATAACAATAAGATCAAACGGAGTGCATGCTGTTAGAAGTTTTCTCTTTTGTACATCCTGTATTTTCAGCTTGGAGAATCTTAGGTCAGATACGGTTCTTTTAATTGTGTTTTTTGTTTGACTGTCTTTTTCTACCTCATTGAAATTTATTAATGAAAATTACTTACCACTTTAACCTAACCCGTGTCAATAAATTTGTTGTCTTAGTAATGGCCGATGGTTGCCAGCAAAAAAAAAAAAAAAGGTCTACTTCTTCCGTGCATCGATAAAAGCATAGGCCCATAATTTAAAACTCAAAATATCCTAGAGACCGCTACACGAAGTAAAAAAGAGAATTGCGGTTCATCCTCCTTGCACCGGAAGCTGGAGCGCACTTACCATTACGTCACTGACACTTTCTTTGCATTGTAAATAACGATTAACTTAAATTCTACCTGGTTTACCAGGGCATTGCCCTTCGTTACAACTTCTTGTAGAAGAACTTGGTCCTAGTCCACTGCAGTCTTTTCCACCGTACTGTGGTGGGGGATTAGTGCATGTCCGCTCACGTGTCTGTTCCCCACCTCCACAAGTCTTTGAACAATCACCATATGCTGTCCAAGCAGAGTAGCCGCCATTGACTGCAAATATATCACGGAGACTTCAACATGGCAATTCAGCTTCGTTAAGACTCACTAGGGGTTTAAAAAACTTTTCACTCTGAATTCTGACATTCTCTCGTTTTTAAGCGCATGCACCTAGACCTCTTTACCCAGCGGTTTTCTCTCTGCGGCAGACTCATTCACTCACGTGTACCAGAGCCAAAAAAGAAGAGCTCAGATAAGTCATTTAGAAACACAGTTTCTGATCTTTTGGACCTGCGCATCTCTGAGAATGACAGGTTAAAACGTTTTACCATATGTAAAAACGCCTTTTTCGTTTCGGATCTTTTTGGTGAATTGGTGTGAAAGCTGCTTAAACGTAGCGTAGAAAGGGTAAATACACCTCTATGGTAAAAAATACTTAATAAGTCTTAGAGTAAAAGTATGAAGCTTTTGTTCAGTCAAAGGTCTGAAATTTTCACCATCTTGGTTTTCAAAATGCCAGTCAAAGATAGTTTCTTCAAGATGACAAAGCTGAGCATAGTCGGAGAGGGTGGTATGGAAAGAAGGGATAGAAAAGAAGAAAGGAAAACGTTGTAGAGTGGAGAGAGGTCTAAAGAGAATCGCTGAACGAAGGGTCTGTAAAGGTAAAAAGGGAGAAGGGCGAGATGAAGGAAAGAGAAGGATGAGGGAGAAGGAGGAGGGACAGACAGGAAGAAAGAAGTGCCGGGAGGCGGAGAAGGAGAAAGTGGGAGAGGGCGTAGAGGCTATAGAGGCGAAAAAGGAAAACAAAAACAGAATGATTTTTGTTGTTCTTGTAATCATACCTGGGCAGCCTCCAGCATCGCATTCTCCAGTCTCTTTGTCAGGTCCTAGGCTTGAGCAGTCCTTTCCACCGGCGCTCGGAGGAGGACTGGTACAAGTGCGAGTGCGGGTGTGACTACCCTTTCCACAGGTTTCGGAACACCGAGACCAAGCTCCCCAATTTGAATAGCCACCGTCGTCTAAAGAGAAAACCAAAATTTTGCCTCTTGCTCTCAAGTTCTCAATTTTATCATTTTTTGTTGCTATAGTCCTATCGCTTCAGTTGATTCTGATACTGCTACCGCCTGCATCAATTCCCTTCCTGCTGCCACAACAGTTACCACTTGCCATTGCTACCACTACAACCTTAAATTTGACACTCTAGGCTGAATACTACAAGCGCTGTGATTGAACGTTGGCAATAACTATTGAATCACTTTATAGACGCATGGCTGACATCATACAAAAATGTTTCCTTTGCTTTACGTAGCCCACAATGATTGAAATTTTTGAGAATTTTGTCCGTATTGAGAAAGTGAAATCTTTAACCCGATTTAGCAATAGCTTTTCATTACCACATTTTATTCGTACCAAATTTTGACGTAATCAGTGGTCTATTTTTTGAGCAGACATACGGTAACGTGAATTGTATTTGTTCGATATACCATAGAGAGTTATGTGCTTGAGGGCTAAGTGAAGCTAATTAATCAGTAAAGAAAATGCCGACAAAGCATTCATCTTTCACGTAATAGAATGTGTACGATTCGATGATTTGAAAAAATTGGCGTGCAAAACTTCCAACGTGATGCGCAATAAGTGTCAAACATAGATACTCTGAATTGGCTATAAACAATTACTAGGTTAGTTTAAAATCATGTGATCAAGAGAAACGGATCGTACTTGACTTGCAACCGTAAAACTCGAGCCTCATCGCAATGTAGGTTTGCCATTCCTCTGGAATGATCCTCAAATATCGTGCCCTGATAGGTGGGTCCAATTCGTGTCCAACAACTGTATAACGATCGCTATTTGCCTTAAATGTCTTATCACATAAAAAGAAAAAGAAAAAAGATATTCGAGAGAGAGTTAATCAATCCACTACCAAAGCGTTCCCGTAGAGGGCTTGGTCTCTGCCTTACATTTACAGAATGCGTACTTTTTCATCTATCCGCGATATAAAGACTTGAATCTTCACCAATTTTACCCTTGTAACATTCTGTGGCCTCAACATACAATATTTATTATTTCATCTAACGGCCCTCATCACTGAACAGCTGGGCAACGAATTAGCGACAAATATCAAGCTGGAGATGATAAACAGTTTTTTACAATCCCTCGATGGGAACAACAAACCTTTGTGTATCCTTCGGGTTGGTACTGCTTAAAGTAAGACCCATCATTGCTGTATCTAAGTGTGTATTCCTTCACCCACTGTGAGCCATCTTGTCGACCCTGAGTGTCAATCCTTGTAATTGTTGTCTCGACCCCAAAGTCAACCTGAAGCCACTGGTTGAGGTCTTGCGTTTTTGCAATCCAGGATCCACCGCGACCACTGGCAGCCGTTTGATGTAGTCTGGCCATTCCAGGCGCATAAGTGGCACTCAGCATCGACGAAGCTGTCAATACTGAATCTGGCAACCTACCATTTTGCATACCGAGTTGCAACTGACAGGTGGGCGTTTCCGGAATTTTAAACCCTGTAGAGAAAAGGTAGATTTTTCATATTTAGCGCTGTTTGGAGGGATTAATAAAAAACAAAAACCAAGGTAGTCACCGTAGCAAATAGGAGCAGTTAAGAAGATTGTTAGGGGGAAAAGAGAACAAAAATGTAAAACAAGAAACCTGTCTGAAGTTCGAGCAGACGCACCATTGGTTGTGCATTCCATACCAATAACAGAGAGAGGTTAAAGCAAAACGAATGCCATTCTAAAATTGCAATCCCGCACTCCTGTCTAAAGCAACTCTAGTATAAGTGTTCATATACTTTCAAGGCAAACATTTTTGTATAACAAGTTCCTCACGAGACGCACAACGTCACCTTAAGGCGGGGCCACTCATTTATTACCCGTAGGGTCGGAGAGTATGGGGGGGGGGGGGCACATGCTTTTGAAGGGGAACAGATGGGGAATCAATCATCGCTATCAGAGTATAAATGGACGACTCTAGAAAATTGACCGCCAGTTAACTGCCAATGAGGGGAGATCATAAGACTGTTATAGAGCCTTGATGGAAGGGGGGGAGGCTTAAGTAATTTTCTAACAGAGTTAACGTCACAAGCTCGCAATCGACCCGCAGCCATGTTTAATTTGGAGTTAAAGTGGGCGGTAGGGGAAGGGGGAGGGGAAAGGGGAGGAGACCAATTTCTATTACCCTACCCACCCCTTCCCTCTTCTTTTTTTACCGTAGCTCACCCCCTTGGAACAAATCTCTTTCTCTCCCCAGCCTTTCGCAGCTGTAAAAATCAAAGATGGCAGCTTTGTTTTCACCAAGCAAATACTGAACACTCGCTTACCAAAATTACACCTGCTCGGTAGGCTATGTGAAAGCAGAAGCGTTTGTAAATGTTAGTGCCTTGATCATGTAAAGTATACCGCGAACACGTACCTTCTGTGCAACCGTAAAGTTCGAATCGTAAAGCCTTGTAGCCATGATACTGTTTAGGGTGGAGCCGTATGTAGCGCGCGATTATGGGCGGGTTGAAGATGTGTCCAACAGTCTTGGTGTCTTTATTGGCAGGAATAAGCTAGAATAAGGCATGGAAAAAAACGGAAAGTACATGAGATTAAGAGATTGCCAAATAAACACGAAAAACACTCTTGCCACTGGCGACCTTTTCTAGGGTCTCGTAGCCAATGGTATCACAGCATAAATGTTCAACCACAGGTAGCCCAAGCTCGCATAATGAGCCTTTGATTCGTCAACATGTAAACATGTTTGCGTTACACAATTAACTAAATAAAAGGATTTGTACGAAAAACAAAATAGAAGGATTGCATTACCAACCTTAAAATCTAAACTAGTCTTGAGAAAAAAAGAATTGTGCAACGTAAACATATCTGCATATTTACGAAGTCTCGTTTGCGAGCTTGGACTACTTGTGGTGCAACCAGATCTAGCTGGACTAGGATTATGGAAATTTTCTGGGGTTGATTTTTCAATGTCGAAAAGTCATTAACGGCTAGTCATTCACATCATTCCTTAAAAAAAACAACAACAAAAAAAGGACTAACATATTGTCTCACTCAAGCCTTATCAAGCGACCATTTTCATGAAAAAACGTTCACTCTATTTCTTTAAACTCAGGGCGGATGTCTCCCATAAAACCGTTCATGGATCACGCTTTTTAGGTGTCACAGTTTTTGCAATCGAATGTAACACCAGGGTCAATCATTATATTTTACTTAAATCGTTCATGATATTTTCGTCAACAGCAAAACCTTTCCTTGCTTTCACTATTGATAATGAACCTGGACCACATACGACTTAACGGAAGTTCTTATCAGACAATTTACCTGATTCTCTTTGTAGGCGAGGTAAGGGCCGCCTTCAACACTATACGTTACGTAGTAGTTTTTGGTGTAATGTCCCACTTTGTACCGTCCCTGAGTGGCAATACGAGTTATCTTCGTGATTTCTCCGAGATCAACTTGAATAAACTGACCGTCATCGTGCGACTTTGGAAACCAAGCTGCATGGACATTTGAGGGCAATGTATTGTCGAGTCTGGCGTACTGTGGGAGATATGAATCACTGTAGCTAGAGGTGGCAGTGATAGCGCTGTTGGGTATCTTGCCGCTTTTCATTCCAAGTTCTGACTGACATTCCAGCTTGGGTGGTACAAATCCTGCAGAAAGAAAATTATTTTAGCTAATCTTCTCAGTAGTAAAGGGGTTGAGATCTACAAACGTCCTGACGTCTCTATTTCCGTTTGACATGCAGTAAAAAGGAACCATTTTAAAAACAGGAGGATTTCAATTCAAATGGTGTGCGCGTCGTTTTCCATTAAAAACGACGCATCCAAGTTCCATTCCTAAAAAATGATTCCAGTTATTTGAAAAGAGGGAAAGGAGGAAACAAAAAATTAAAATGTACAAAGCATTGCTGCATTAGCTCGAATAAAATCAAAAGTTTTTTCCATTGTCCAAAAGCTACCTACTATAACAACTGCCAAAAATAACAGGATTATACAACATGGCGACCAGTCATTATTTATCGTGGAGGATCGGAGTATTTTACGGGGGGGATCAAGTGGTTTTTAGGGGCGACAGAGGGGGTTTCAGTATCAGTTTTCTCTACCAGAGTTTAAAGAGAGTCTAGAAAAAATTGACTCTCGAAGAGGCGATCATTAGAATATTTCAAGTAAATTTCACTGTGACACAACCAAAATCTTCCGAAACCGCCGCCCCCTTCGGAAATAAAAAATGATAGGTCTCTTATCTGCTACCTTCTTTACAGCCGTAAAATTCTGCTCTCAAGGAAATATGGGACTGCCACGTTTCTGGACGAATCCGGATGTATCTTGTTATAATTGGTTTATGTAATTTGTTTTTTACCACTGTGAATCTATCGTAGCTGCCGTGGAACACCTGCAATATTCATTTCACAAACATTTACTAATTACACTATCGATTAAGATGAAGTGAATCATATGTTAAGAATCTTCTTTTTTACAATTTCACCGCACCTTAGACCGAGCGTGAATTTTTTTTGTCTCACCACTACATCCAATTTCCTATGCCGACCCATCAAAATTCCTTCATGCTGCTGTAAGTTTTTTTTTTTTTTTTCATTTTCCTGTGGCAAGAAATTTACGTCAACAGCGAGGAAAGTGAGCAGGTCAGCAAAAAAAATAGATAGACTGCGTGGTGAGACAAAAACGAGCGCCCGTTTTTCGTTTGAATCTCGCTGCACTATTTGTCTGATGCCAGCTCTTTGCATCAAACCAAACCTTTCGAAAAAAATCACTTTGCTAACCTTTCCCAACATCACAAACTTTCTTAGAGATAAAAACACATCGCGTTTGTGAGATTAATTATTTGTCTTTTTCTTGACAATTAGACACAAACCCCCCGGGAGGGGGGGGGCCTTGTTGGTTATGTGCCACTGGCGTCTCAGAACAGCTACCGCATTATAGTCTATTACATGGTCGATTAAAGACCCCTTCGTAGTCACTTTTCAACCACAAATCTTCCCATTCTTAAATCCCTCCTTATCAGAATTTTCTTACCCCCAAAAAATGTGCGACCCCATCCTTATAGAGCACATCTTCATTTAACTGTTACTAGGAAGCTTCCCCAACCACCCAGCCCCCTCTCTTCCGCTCCCTAGCACAAACGTCCTTGACCAAAACACAAGCCGAAGTATTCTCAAAGAATATTTCATTTTCTCAGCAGACGTATTGAGCAATAATGATCCCTTAAATCCTTGAAATCAATAAAATACCCATAACTACACTAGCGAAGAACCCTGAGCCAATAGAATTCACAATGATCAGAATACTATATTCATTAGGTTGTCACCTGCTTTAAGTTGTCCTCATTGTTGAATGTTTCCCAGAACACACCATCATAGCTGAATGAAAGGCTGTACGTTTTAACCCACTGGGCAGAATCCTGCCTTCCTTGGGTGGCTACAGCTGTGATCTGTGTCCATGTTCCGAAGTCGACCTGGAAATACTGGTCAGCATTGTTTGAGGCCGCGGCCCAGCTGCCGTATTTACCACTACCAGACATCAGGAAATGAAGTCTGCCAACGTATGGAGCATAGCTATTAGCATTTGCTGAGCTTGATGCTGTAATGGCAGAGTCTGGTATTTTACCGTTTTGCATTCCGAGGGGATCCATGCACTGTGGTGGTTTAGGCGTGGAAAATCCTACATAAAAGAAATAGAAACTTCGTTAGTGTTGAAAGCGGCGTTGAAAATGATATTTTGTCTGTTGACCATAGTTCATTTTCACTGAAGGTTCATCGAGTAGTCTTTACAAGTTAATAGCACTCTGAGGCTCAAAACTCTGTTTAATTGTTCATTTTTATTCTCGTGCAATCGGAAGGAAAGTCCACACTCTGAGATAAAATGAGGTAATTAGTTCTAATTCAAAGTATACTACATAGTAAAATTGAATTGAGACCAAAATGTCACGGTTGCACTTCCGCGTAGCTCGTCGAACCTGGATATGTAGGGTCAATAAATATCCCCCCCCCCCCCTCCGTTTCATGACTTAGCAACTGCGCCCCTACTCTTCCCCTAACTCAACAACAGTCAACTGACAAGGCGTTAGTGTTGATGGATGAGGGGAGGGGTAGGTGCGCAGTTTCTCAAATACTGACGATGATCCGACAATTTTCAGGGCAAATTAGTGCCCAGATCGCCTGCCTCATAACTAAGGAGCAAATCGTGCGTGTGAGGTAGACAACAGCCGGTCATCGCTCATTTGTTATGTAGGAAAATTTCTTTGAGAGTTTCATTTTATTGGATTAAAGATCAACTGCCGAGATGATGCGCACAAAGCCCTTTTTAGGTGTTTGCTGATTGTCATTAGGTTATCTGCAAAACACCTTGACCTGACACAGTTGACACTATTAATGCTAAAGTTAAAATTTTTGATTATGGCGTTCTGGTACAATATACGCTACTCATCGAGACGGATCTTCCTCACCTTCCTAAGCAATATTTTTTCTTTACAAGGAAAGCCTCCTTCAAGGCTATTCGAAAGATTAGGTGCCTGTCGATAATTCCTCGTCAGGGTTTCTTTCTTTCCACTCATAAGTATTGAAGAACTATATTAGGTTGCCTTAAAGGTAACTTAAAGGTTAACATTGGAAATATCTAAGACATCTTGCATTTCTCAAAAATGAATAACCATTTATGAAAGCAACTGATACAGGCGATAATATTCTGTCTCTTCTGAGATCTTGTAAAAAAAAAAAGGCCACTTCCTCTTATATTAGAGTTTTTTCTTTGACGTTCTTATTTACCAAAAATTTGACATTACAAGCCACATACCATCAGAGCATCCAAAGAGTTCCACTCTAAGCGACGGGTATCCTGAATATGATTTGACATTGATTTTAACAAATCGAGCAATGATGGCTGGGTTAAGAATGCGGCCAACTGCAGTCTTGTAGTCGGTATTGCCCATAAGAACCTTTTCAAAAAGGACAGTTTCAAATTTAGGAAAAGAGGACCACTCATTTTTCGCCTGAGGAGGGGGAGGGAAGAGTTTAGGGGGATTATGTGATTTTCATGGAGAACGGAGCGGGAATCAGTCGTCACCAACAGAGTATAAATGGTAAATTTTGGAAACTTGACTGCCAATTCCCTGCCCCACCCCCACCCCCACCCCCTCTCCCCCCTGTGGAGGGGGTTGGGGGTTGGGGGTTCATAATGCTATTGTAGAGCCTTATAGGGGGGTTCAGATAAATGTTATCGTGACATGACCAAAATCATCCGGGGCTTCAATGAGCAAGTTCATCACTTGAATGGAAAAGCTTAGAGTAAATTATGGAAATCATATTAAACTCAGGTCTGATAAAACAACCAGGATTTTAACTCGCATTACGCTTTTTTTTAAACTCCCTCTGAAATGCTACAGCCCTTTCATCTTTCGTTATCCATTTGGCGCCGAATAGTCTAACAGTGAGTGTAAACATACCTCGCCATTGTTGTACTTTGTAAACTCTCCTCCATCTTCTGTGGTATAGTCCAGGCTATAGGACTTTGACCACCATCCCGCGTCAGATCGGCCCTGCGTCGCAATTCTAGTTACCTTGGAAACCTTTCCCAAGTCAATCATCAGCCACTGATTCACGTCCGCATATTGGGAAATCCATCCACCCTGGTAACTCCCTAAAGATAGAAATCACTTATTGATTAGTAACGGCATATTGGGAAATCCAACTACCCCGGTAACTACCTAAAGATATAAATCACTTGTTGACTAGTATTGGCATATTGGAAAATCCAGCCACTCTGGTAACTACCTAAAGATACCAATCACTTATTGAGTAGTATCGGCATATTGGGACATCCAACCACCCGGGTAACTACCTAAAGATACAAATCACTTATTGATTAGTATTGGCATATTGGGAAATCCAACCACTTGGGTAACTCCCTAAAGATATAGATATCTTTACCTTAACATTTCAGAAAGATTTCATTTCAACACTTTGCCTTCGTTCGAGTTCTTGTCTTCACTATCAACTTTACACAATACTTAGCTGTCATGCTAGAATTGTTTCCGAGTTCTTAGCCTCCCCACTGATAGGTAAAAGGTAAAGTCTCTGCTAGAGCCTATTGGCCACCCATAGTCAAGGCTTATCCCGGTTTCCATGTGGCACGAAGCATCTAAGAGTGTTACTAGGAGTGTTACTGGAGTGTTTTTACCACACCTCCCCCGGATGGAATGCTAGTCCATCGCAAGGTTACCCACCCACCCCCCCCCCCCCCCTTAGCATTTTATCAGGCTTCCCTGGCAATTCACCGATACCCATTTATACTCCCGGATGGGGGGGAGGAACATCTGTCAAGTTTAAAATAATCTATCCAATACCTTCTTTCTGCATGTTAAGTCTTGCCCTCTCAGGTCCCCACCATTGGTTATAACGTGATGATGCTGTAATGGCTGTATCTGGTATGTGGCCATTTTCCATTCCAAGAGCAGAAGCACAAACTATTACGGGTGGTTTGAATCCTATTTCAACAACAACAAAAGATGTAAATTAGAGCTGTATTTTTTTGAGACTCAATACTTAAGTGTGAGACTAGCCCGAGGTACAAGAAAAAAAACGCTTCTTCATGAAACAAAAATACAGATAGAGAAATTTTACTTTGGTGAGATATGAAAACACAGAAATTGTATGAATAGCCTTACAGGAAAAAGGAATAGTAGCCTTTTAAACTCTCATGAGTGACCAAGCCAGAATTTCTCTTTATGATATCAATACAATATTAAGCAGACAATTGATGAGAATACAGAAAAATATCAATAATTGGGGGATTATTAGTTGATCCAATGTCAAATTCTCCAAACTGACATCATAAGAGTTGTGTGGCATATGGTGAGAAGAATTACTTGAAGGACCTTTGAAAAGATCAACAGGGATTGTACGTAGATAACCACACTGAGAAATTAAGGACACTTTTTCCATGAAATACAAACTATGATGAAGTGCTTACAAGGAAAACACTGGCAAATTTGCACTCAGCACACCGAAAAGCGCCTATGAAAAACTCATGACGCGGTCATCGAATCGTAAGTAGTAATAATACACCTCTGAAGTTCACCTTTAAGTCTTGGTCACCCGTGTTTGCTCACACTTACGTTGATTTACTTTGAGTTCTTACTGGCTCTCAAACAAGTCCTCCTTAACTCTGATTGGTCGTTGATTATAATGGTCTGGGGTTCGAAAAGTGCTTAAAGAATTCAAATAAACATTTTACCTTCTTTGCAGCCGTAAAATTCGGCTCTCAGGGTTATGTGAGACTGCCATGTTTCTGGGTGAATGCGGATGTACCGCGTTATAATCGGTTTGTACAGTACGTTCCTTACTGGTGTGAATCGGTCAGAATTTCCTATAAAAACCTGTATAAAATTCAAATTGCACGAGTGAGTCGCTTTGTAACATTATTTTTCATTAAATCAGTTATTTAATAGATTGGGACTTTCGAATAAAAGTCTGTACCAAAAAGAATTGTAAGCAACCGAATGAACAAGGCAGATAACTGTACTGTTAGGTTCTCACCTGCTTTAGGTCATGTTCATTTAGGACTGTTTGCCAGAAGACACCATCATAGCTGAATGATAGGCTGTACGTTTTGACCCACTGGGCAGAATCCTGCCTTCCTTGGGTGGTAACAGCTGATATTTGCGTCCAGCTTCCAAAATCGACCTGGAAATACTGCTCAGCGTTGTTTGAGGCCGCCGCCCAGCCTCCGTATTTACCACTGCCGGAACTCAGGAAATGAAGTCTGCCAACGTATGGAGCAAAGCTATTAGCATTTGATGAGCTTGACGCTGTAATCGCCGAGTCCGGTATTTTACCACTTTGCATTCCAAGGGCATCCATGCACTGTGGTGGTTTTGGTATTGAGAACCCTGCACACAGAAATAGATTACTCAAGTTTTATGTGATAATCTTAATTACACACGTATTTCATTGGTTCTTACCCAGGATCTATGGGAGAACAGAAGCATAGATATATAACGTCGTCAGTATAACAACATTTCTCTCTTTTATCGTATAAAACAAATGGTACATTCCATGTTGACCTGTGTTAAACCCTCGCCCATGGTGGTTGATACTGGTAAAATTATTTGGATGCAAATGGTCACCCTGGAGTAAACGGTTGGGGACTGCTGCACTCATAAAGTAAAAGCTGTTACTCTTTCACATTGCTCAAAACTGGCAAAAGATGTATTCTATTAGAGGCTCACAGTGCGATGCAATGGTAATGATAGCATGTGTTTAAAACCCTGAACACAATATGTCAAATTCCCTTAGGGTTCTGTTATATTCTTATGCTCCTGAAAACCATGTGATTCCTCAGTCTATGATAAACGAAGTAGCTACCTGGTCAACACTTAACTCGTTTCAACTTCATCCGAAAAAATGTAATGAGCTAAGAGTTTCCTTCGTGCGCTCCCATCTCATAGAAATTAATGGCTCTAAGGTTAGCGCCGTTAGTGTCGTGAAATTACTGGGTGTGTATTTTCAAGACAACCTCAAGTGGAACACTCACGTTACTGAGATGATTAAAAAGGCCGCTAAGCGCCTTTACTTTTTAACTCAGTTAAAGCGAGCTAAGGTACCATCACCAGAATTAGTGAATTTTTATGTTGCTTGCATTCAATCCGTCTTACTTTATGGATGTCAGGTCAACCATTATAGTCTCCCCGATTATTTGAGCTTAAGTTTAGAGCGTGTCCAAAAGAGAGCCTTGAAAATTATATACGGTTATGATAATCATTATAGAGAAGTGCTTCAGATGGCAGAAAACCCTAAGGGATCGGAGGGAAGACCTTTGCTTAAAATTCTTTAACAACATCGTCTCCAATCCCTTGGATTGTTTGTACCACTTACTGCCTTTCGACAACCGAGATCAACTTATGGAGTTACGACGACGCAGACCATTTAGAGTTTCCTTTAAAACAAATCGGTTCAGAGATACTTTCATTCCAGCAAGCGCAAGACATTTTAATTGACATCTATTACAATTGTATATGGGCCCATATGTAAATTAGTTCCCTTTTAGGTTTGATTTTATTGTATAGTTCTATTATATAATTTGTACACCTTTGTAATTCAGCTTCCAGCTGCTATTAAGGTATTCTTAATAAACGTCTATCTATCTATCTAAAGTTGTCCACACCCCCCCCCCCCCCCCCACGGCCAGGAGGTGAATAGGGAGTTTGAGATGTCACTATGTCACTATCTATGTCACTATGGCAACATGTGGTAATAAGAAACGTAATTTATTTTCCGCTAAGATTTTTACAAGTAGCCCGATGGGTTAACCTTTTCTGACGGTACGACATCTTCACCTCGGCACAACTTGTAAATGTGGTGTTGAGTTAAAAATAAAAACGTGGCTAAATTGCTGTAGATATTTCCTTGCTAAGAGGACGTAAAATTTGATGATTTCACGTTTTTGATCTGCATGGGACGGCTAAGAAATGTATAAAGTTTTAAAACGGACGTGTTTCGCTATTGTTTTGCTCATCAGATCTTTTGTTTCGCTACGTTCTCGTCGCCTTCGCCGTCGTAGTTTTCTTAAAATCCCTAAAAATAACTAATCCCCAGCTACCAAGGCATCTCACTTACCATCGGTACATCCATATAATTCAACTCTCAGGGACGGATATCCATGATGTGATTTGACGTTGATTTTGATGAAGCGCGCGATAATTGGTGGATCAAGAATATGCCCAACTGCATTAGTATAGTCGATATTCCCTTGAAGCTCCTATGACAGTACAAAGAATATGTCTGAGAACATTAAGACAAAAAAATAAAGTACGCGTTCCTGGAATTCCTAATCACGTGGAAGTACTTCCTACTTATGCGAAGCACCAGGCCACTTATCCGTTGCACGGTCAATTTAATAACGATACCTGGCCATTTTTGTAAGGTTTGAACACTCCTCCATCTTCACTGTATTCCAGGCTATAGGACTTTGACCACCATCCCGCGTCAGATCGGCCCTGTGTTGCTAGTCTAGTTACCTTGGTAACCTTTCCCAAATCAACCATAAGCCACTGATTAGCGTCCGTATATTGGGAAATCCAACCACCCTGGTAACTCCCTAAGGATACAAATCACTTATTGATTAGTATGGGCATATTGGGAAATCCAACCACCCTGGTAACTCCCTAAAGATGCAAATTAAAAAAAACCGTTCTGTGAAAATGCCATGACATAAGTTCAGTATGGGAATTGAACGCTCCAAGTAATGAGCTCCTGGTTTTCGAAATTGCATAAATTATCAACGCCGAAGTCTGAGTTACATCCATGTAGTTTGTATCACAGACACGATGTTTGACAATTCATGATATCATGCAAGAACTGAATTCAATAATTGTTTTGTTATACCATTTTTAAACAATCTGCGAAAGAAGACATTTCTCTCTGAGTTAGCAAACGTTTGGGAACACTTCACAAACGAAGGGGTTGGAAACTAGACAGACTTTGAACTCGACATGATAACCAATTATCTGCAGCAAATATTGAGTTATCTTGTCAACTTCACACACCATTGTGTATTGACTGTATGCTTTCGATCAATCAGAGTTTTCATACTAGGTCTAACTTATATAATGATGATTATCATGATGACGATGACAATTCATATGTAATGCTGATTGGTTTCTTATTAATGAATTATTGGTAGACAGACGCATTGATGACGTGACCATGAACAATATTTCGTTTTGCTACAAAATAAAACATGTTGCTGTGGATTTGTTCAGTTACAAAACAAAGAAGACGTCGAGGTGTGCCAAGAACACCAGTTCAACTTCTGGCTGCGCCTTGTGTGCCTTTCTTTTTTGTCCTTACTGCATTTTGACGTCATCCATGATCTATTACTGAACAGACACACGGCAATATGGAATGATGATAAAAATAATGATGATGACGACGGCGATGATGTCAATGACGCTGATAATGAAGATGATAATGGGATGATGATAACAAAGAAGATACTAATGATGATGACAACAATGACGATGACGATGGTAAGGATGATGATGAGAACATAATGAAATCCGTCCAATACCCTCTTTCTGCTCGTTCAGTCTTCCTCTCTCGGGTCCCCACCATTGGTTATAACGTGATGAAGCCATAATGGACGAATCTGGTATCTTGCCGTTTTCCATTCCGAGAGCACCTGCGCATACAATCTCGGGGATATCGAACCCTGTTGGCATAAAGGTATCGATACAAGATTCATAGAGTTTTTCAAGATATATTGAAGTTTATCCCATTACCTTAGTATAACCCACCTAAACCCTCCCCTCACCCAACAACATTCTTGACTGATAACAAGTTAATGTTGGGTTAGGGAAGGGGTAGGCGGGGTAGAAATGCAGTTGCTTAGATACTGAACTGATCACTGCGTTACTTATGCAGAATGGCAACTAGTAATTTCTAAAAGCATAAAGTTTTAACCTAAAAACTAACTTACAATTAACTAAGCTCGCACGTGACAAAAATGTAGTAAGTACTTTTATTCTTCTTTGTGAAAAAACACGATTCTAGAATAGAAAGATTAGATATATTCGAAACTTACCAGATTTACAGCCGTAAAAGCCAGCCCTTAGGGAAATATAACCATTCCACGCTAATGGGATGATGCGAATATATCTTGTGACAATTGGATTCTTCAGATCGTGGCATATTTGAAGATAATTGTTTGTGTTGCCCGCAAATTCCTGAAATAGAACAAGCGGCAAGGAACCTAATAATTGCCTCTGTTTATCAATCAAAGCTGGACTACTTGGCGTTCATAGAAAGGTACGAATGAGAAAATACCACAAGGAGGTAATGAGAACTGGCAACTCAAGGACGAGGTCGAGATTGATCTTCGTTTGGCGTCTGGTGGGTTGAAAGGATGGTGAAAATGGTGAGAGCGAAAATGGTGAGTGTGAAGATGGTGAGAGCCAAACGGAGCAATTTTGAATTGAGTGTCGAAAGTAGTAATGGATTGCCTCGCTTTTCCTTTGCTTTGCTTAAGAAAACTCTCGTCAGTCTCGCAGCCTTTAAGATTCAAAATTTGAATCCATTGCAGTTTGCACACTCACATTTTAACTCATTTAAAACAGTTTAAATGTTTTCAATTTTTTCCACATTCAATGGGAGAAACCTACACTTAATCGACGACTTTATCATGTGAATTTAAAACTTTCCTTATGAATGTATACCTTGTTCTGTTATTATTGTTTTGTTTTGTCCAATCAGCATTTTGTTACACACTAAATTCAACTTTGTACTTTGTATAATTAAAACTGAAGATGACAGAAGAACTGTCGAAACATGTTTGGAAAAAGTGTCGTTCATTTTCTTAAATTTCTTCAATTTGAGATCTCATTGTCTCTTGTGATCCTTTCATCTGATCAGCGGTTTTGATTACTTCGGTTTGGTTTTACCCAAAGTGTTCTGAAGCAAGGCCGATGTAAACCCAGATTGTTTCGGATACACGATTGAAGAGTGCTCGAAACATACTTGGCAAAGGAGATTAATTAGTTACGAAAGCTGGGTAAAACAGAAAAACCATAACAACTACTCTGCTTACAAGGCTGTGAGCTTCCTGAACGAGTGAAAATTTATTTTTTGTTGTTTATTCATTTCTACTGAATGAATAAGTGGGATGTTTCTTTTGATCAATTACTTCAATATAGCTGGAATGCTGTTGAGCGTCGGCATGGGCAAGTCTAAGAAAGCTGACAAAAGCCTATCACAAATTAAAAATTACCAGAAATCCCTCGTAACCATTGTATTGAATTAAATTTGCAAAAAAAAAAAAAAACAACAACAACAACAACAACAACAACAACCATACCTTTGAAAGATTATCTTCTACATAATCCCGATAAAACACGCCATCGTAGCTATAAGCAAGTCTGTACTTGGTAACCCAGTAGCTCCCGGACGCTTCTCCCTGGGTGCAGAATCTGGTCACCTGGGTCCAGCCTCCAAAATTTACTTGAAACCATTGTTGGGTATTTCTTTGGGAGGTCATCCAACCATACGGAAATTTGTACAGCCGACCATTGCTGGGACGATAGTTTGAGTTGTAAATGCTGGAAGCGGTGATGGACGAGTCAGGGATTTTGCCATCTTCCATACCCAGACCTTCCATACACGCTGGAGGTTTTGGAATGTCAAAACCTTAAACAACAAGAAGATCTAAATTAGTAAATAAATCTAAACGGCTCGCAAGGCCCTTATATTTTTGTCTGTGCCGCTCAGACCAAGCCTCTCTTGTAACACAAGACAATATAGGCTTGGTCGGACTTACGAACAAGGACAGACAAAGTTGTGAAAAATTTGCAAATTTTCTTAGCCAGGTGAGAAAAATATTTGGGGACCACGGTTTTACTTAACTTTTAAGTTAGACGAAACGCGTCAGAGAGTAAAGACGTTTTACGACTACTGTTCGCAGAGTGCTGTTCACTAGTTTGGTTTTTCCCAAATTCTTTTAAAAAATTGTCTCTTGTTGACATTTGTTCGTTATATCAGAATATATCATACGTTTGGGCTTCTGGATTGTAATAGTCATAACGAGGATTTCGTTATATTGAGGTTCTGTCCCATATACTTTAATATAACTTTGGCCGGGCTAAAAAGTATCGTTCGTCATACTGAGGACTTCGTTATATGGGGTTCGTTAAATCGATGTTCTACTGTAGTCCTAATTCGAAGTATAGCGGTCGTTGTATAGAAATGAAAAAAAAAAGGCTATCGCTTTTCCTTTCGTTTGTAACACGCTTTTGACTGGTTTAAAAATTAAAACGATGATGACAACAGTGACAACATAAATGGCAGTGGTATTAGTAAAAGAAATATTTTATATTCCATGTGATCAATTGTACACGTGGAAAACAATGATTGGTTCATTTGTACCACGTGGTAAATAATCCTCCTCACTGATTGGCTCTATACTAAAGTGTCCCCGTGACGGAGTTTATAATAATAAAAATCGATTGAAAAAAGCTATTTCATTAAAATACTTTCAAGCTAAAAGAGAAAAAAGGAAATTTGGACCCATGCCTACCGGACTCGCAGCCATACATTTCAATCCTCATTGCGGTGTAACCGTAATAACCAGTCGGGTGGATACGAACATAACGAGCAATGATTGGTTCATCCAAAATGTTCACCTTTACAGATCGGTAATCGCTGTTCCCGTAATATTCCTGAGATGAACATCCATCGTCATTAAAAGAAATCAGTCTAATTTAAATAGCATTTAGAATTACATTTAGGTGCAGGTTAGAAAAAAAATGATTTATTGTCCTCTAAAAACAAAAATGGATGGATGTTTTTGTAGAGTACCAACCCAAACAATACCCTCTTTACAATCACAATAGGCCGGATAGAGTTACGCTTAGGCCTACCGTCTACTCTGATCTGGACTAGTCGTCCACAAAAAGGAGCTTTAAAAAGAAAGCTCTTCAGAAATAATAAATTTTAACGCCCGATTTGCGTCCTAGTAAGGAGGAAAAACATTTGGAAAAGCGAGCATCCTTCGAAGACGCTAATGTCACTCCTCTTTGTCACTACTTGGTGGTATGATTAGACCTTAATTGTGCGCATGTCCAAAAATCCAGTCAAGCGTAACCTCTGTCGATGGTCTTTCTTCTATTTTTTTAATTTAAACATATTTTCTATTGTTTTTCCCAAAAGCACTTGGGCTAAACAAGGGGGATTACGATAAAATACGGGAGACATGTTATTCGTTTCCTATATGGCTAGTGTGGACAGAATACTTGTGTTACGCTTTTTTGAATAACTTTCGAAAACAACGTGTTCAGGTTGATTCCGCACAGGATAGAACAAGCTAAGCCTCGAAGCGCATTTAGGGCCAAATTTATCGAATACTTTTACAACCTACCCGTGGGACAGTGTAGGGCTTGTGCTCTTGAAACTGAAAAAGACTACCATCCAGGCTTGAGGAGACTACATACTTTGTGATATACTGATTAGCATTATGGCGACCTTGGGTGGCAATTTTCGTCACTTTGACAACTTTGCCGAAATCCACCTGGAGCCACTGGCCCTTTTTGTTATTTCCGGCCAAATATGTAGTCTGATGATTGAGTCTTCCCTTGTAAGGCTCCCAACCTGCTCCGCCATACTGGAAATTTCAATTCATAAAGAAAAAGAAAAGATGATCTCTCGTAACTCATGTAAGGATGAATATCTGCAAGATATGAAGACGCACTTAATCCTGATAGTTTGACCCCGCACACCTTTGGCCATTATCCCTATCGCCGGAGGAAGGAGGGGGGTGTGGAGGACTTCAGGAATCACATGGTTTTCATGAGGATCAATGACAGTATCTAAGCAACTGCACACTAACCCTTCCCCTAACCCAATGACAGTCAACTACTGAAAAGTTTGGGTTAAAGATGGGTTAGGGAAGGGGTAAGTGCGCAATTGTTTAGCTGCTGACATAGATCCCAAAATACTTCTGGGATCTTCGCAGCAGTTTCCTTTACCTTGGTCCTTCTTGGCTCAGTATCGCCAGTTTTTTCTGTTTTACTATCTCATCCGACTAGCTTGTTTTAGTCGCCCTCAAATTGAGCACGGTGGGATAAATGAATAATTATTTAAGATATCGTGATGTAGCTACCTTTGACATTATGTCTTTTAGAAAAATATTGACATAGACCACAGCAAGCATTTGAAGGGGATATTGCTCGAGGAACGACCCATGCTGTCAAGTAAAAAGTAAATATACAATACATTTATACATACCACGGTGGCAGCCTTCATTGCTGAGTTTGGAATCTTTCCACTTTCTATTCCTAGTGGTGCGTCACAATCTAGATATGGAAAATACCAAACGCCCAGTAAGGGAAGTAGGGACTACAACACTTTGAGAGGAGACGAATACCATCCGCAAATAGTTCATAAAGAATACCAAGAAGAGACACACCTGCACAACGATAGGCATAGAGGGTGGGGAAATAAATGAATCTAATTTCCCATTAAGCTGACCCGGTTATTTTCCTGCCCTTTGTGGAAAGTTTATGCCTCCTATATTTGAATCGGGTGTCTTATTTTCCCACGATAAGGTTACTTTAAATTATGCTTCGAAAAAGTTTTGTACATACCTCCTGCCACAAATCCTGGAAAATGAAAAGAAAAAACCCAGTTATCATGAAACATCTCTCATTTCTCTTACTTTATTTTGTCTCGCTGTTGCTTTTTTTTTTTGTTGGGAATTATTTGTTGGTGTATACATTTGCTGTCTGTGCCAGTAATCATGGGTTGTACTGACTCGATGATCTCTGATTCTATCACTCTAATTTCAGATCAAAAGCAATATTATTTAACAATCATTCACCGCAGTGGAGGTGAATGATAGTGTTTAGTATATACTAAAACAGCAAATAGCGTTGAGGGCGCGCTCTCATTAGCTATCTCAAACTATCTCTTAGCAACTAGCGGGGGATTGGCGTCCGAAAAGATTGTGACAGCTGCAGATAGCTGCAGAATAAACGAGTTTAAATCATCTTTTTTGTAGTATATCGTCTTACTGTTTTAGTATGTTTCTTAACAACTCCTCGCCGATGTGGAGGTGGTTAGTGGTAAATGTTCACCACTAGCCACTGACACTGTAACAAATAAATTATTTTATTTCTGCTTGTATGCAAAAAAGAGACCTAAATTAAAATCTTAAACCATCAATCAGCGCGCGCGAAAAGCACCATGTATTTATGAAAAAAAAAATACTTCTGTGATATAATTTTTATGTCACATAACATTCATAAGATCAGGAAGCTAATTGATGAGAATTTGGTGTTATATCCAAACTATATCCTCAGGTTCTTAAATTCTATGGTTCTCAAGGGAAATTTCAGCAATGATCTGATGGAAGAGGAAGAGTTGCTGATTACACATTTTTAGAATGTATTCAAGGACGGGAGTTGGAAAAACTACTTTTATTTGACCAAAAGTTGTTGTCTGCTCAGAGATTTTGGTTAGGGAGATAGACAAGGATCTTAAGTTAAAGCAAGTTGTTCCTTCAATAATTTACTTCTTATGCGTAAAGATATTTCATTTCGCAGTAGTTCAATCCCATCTAAGCACTGGAAATAACTCTACCTCACCCCACCCAGAGTAGGGATCATACGTGCGCCTCTCTCTTAGGCGCCTACAAGGCGCGCCAACATCAATTTCTTTTTCATTGAATAATTTGTTTTTATTCTAGCGACGAACTTCGCCGAAAAGCAGGGATTTTTCGTAGTCTAGCCCTTTCCTTCTCACATGAATAGCACTTTTCTTTGTTCCTTTTGGTGTTTTACTCCAGGCGTTTGGGAGAGTCAGTTCCTTTAACTTATCTTTTTTCAAGACATTTGACGGAGAGTTGAATGAAAATATTACGAGCGTTGAAAAAAATGTTCAGGTTTTTGATCGTTAAATGTTGTGTTGCTCCGGAGCACAAGTGAAACACTCGGCTGAATATTACACTAAGGCATGTTACCCTAAAAGAAACCAGCAGGCGTCGCAATTTTCGGAAAATTGACGTGGACGTTGGTCTTCTTAACGAGCCGTGACGTGGCTTTCCCCTGACGAAGAGTTCTCTCAAGAAAAGCAGCATTAAAGATAAAATTATTGACAAAATAGAGCTCAAACAAACGTGGATGTGTCTTACTTACCAACTAAAAGAAAGAACTGCAACAACGGCAGAAACCACGCAGTACCCATCTTGTATTTCTCCAGGACTCAACCGTGTGTGAAGCGTCCCGTAGAACAAGATAAACTTTGAAAGGAAACCCTTCACAGCTGCCTTACTTATAGTTATTATTAATGAGTCAATTGTTATTCCCAGGAATTGTTCAGAGTAGTTTCTGTTAAGGAAATGGTCAAATTGGCTCAATTGTTCTTACCAACAATTGGTTCTTATTAACATGTTTCATCAGTTTAATCATGCATCAAAGTGTTAGGACGGTGTTGTTTTTCACGCGATAAAGCAAAACATTTCTGCTACTTTTTTCCATGTCCTTGTATCGAAACATCTACATTTATTCCTTGTATTTTACTTTTCTCTATATGCATCATTTGTCCCTAATAAAATTATGGACATTGTAAGACTTTGTAATTAGACTCCTTTCATAAGTTTTTCCCAATACCATTGTTTTCAAAATTACCACAAATTAGAAAGCGTGCAGATAATTAGGATTGGGAAATTTATCACGTGATCAAGGTATCGCTTTTAAGAATTTCAGGTAAAAATCTGTTTGTCAGGCATACTTTCCTGACAAAAAATCAGACAGAGAAGATAACTGACACTCAATTTCTACTTATTACTTTAAGACGCAGCGCATAACTGCAGAAGTCATCGTGAAGGTTTCATTGTAGATGGTTAAAGTGTCTGGTTTTCTAGAATTGTCCGATGTAATTTTCTATATTAGAAATGGCTGGTTGTTAAACAGTTGAATTAAATACAGCCAAAAGACTGGCTTTACTCCTATATCTGATGTGTCCAACGAAACACTGCGAATTGGATAGGGGCTTGAAAAAGCGTTCATTTGTCTCACCTTTTAATCGTGGCGTATTGTTATTAAATTGTAATTTGTAAATGGTAATAAGTATATTTTGGTTTTTTTCTTGATCCTGCTAATAAGTACTACAACTAACACAAAATCCTGGACTTTGCGAAAAATTCTGTGAGGGGTCTAGAATGTCCTCTGTGCTTGGAGGCGATGATAAGGGCACAAAAGTAAAAAAGGAGGAAAAAAAAAAGAGCTTGGTGCTGTAAATAACATCCTTAGTGAGCCACTGCAGAACGTTAGCCACGCGTACGTTCCATTCACACCATTTTTAATCAGCAGAAGATGCTAGGGATGACGTTGAGTGTTTTTTTTTGTTTTTTTTAAGACAGGTTTTGCAATTTACTATGCGCAGGAAAGTCACAATTCTCATGACAATACAACGAGAAGGATTTTGATCATTTTGTTTTGCAGGTTACAATACTTGTAAATTTAATGAACAACGTCTTCTGATATTCTTCGAGTGAACAGAAATGAGTGGCTGAAATGGTTGTCTGAAAGAAGCGAGTAATTTCTGGCGCAGGTTATCTGTATCTTTTAGCATTCTAAGAGGAGCAAAATAAGCCTTATGTTAATGAAATATAAAACTTCACGTATAAATTTAGTGTATGAAAAGTTAAAAAACAGAACAATGCATTTTAAGGTAAATATTTATCAAATGGGTAGCGTCTATTGTTTAACGCAGTGGGAGAACGCGTTTTTTTTTTATTATTCTTTAGCAAAACAGCAGCAAAAATTCATTCGTTAAAACTACTTAAGAGGTTAGAAAGTACAGAAGAAGCGAAGAAGTACCATTTCATTAAAGTTCGATGCCGTTTTTTTCGGGTTGTCTGAAGCATTCATACACAACTGCAACAACACGTAGATCCTCCGTTTGTGGAAAGGAAGTCCAGTAGAAAAAAATAACGCGATAAGTTTTGACCCACGAAACACCAGAAGAGATTTTATTATGTAGCTAACAGCACCCGTGGGCAAGATGAATCCTGTGTTCTGATTCGCTACCTAAGATTGGCCTGATTGTCCGCTCTGAATTTCCCGCTTTGATTCCGTGCAAAGAAGAACATTGCATGTAGAAGCGCACAAAGAGAATTCGAAATTTTTGGACAATGTCGGCAATGGAGTCGCAAATGCGACACGAAAAGTCGAAAAATAAAGATAACCAAGAAAATATAAATGAGTTTGGTGTGTTCAAAAACAAAATTCAAAAGACAGAGTGATATGAAAGTTAGAAGCGGTTTTGATTCACATTAACTCGAAACATTTCTGCTATGTAATAAATACGTCATTGACCAAGCTTGTCCAGTCAAGATGGCTGGATATAAGCCTTGTTCTTTTCAATGCGTTTTTGTGGACCTCAACGCTTGGTCAAAGAAGCATGCTCTATATAATGGTAATAGGACCGAGTGGAGTCCAATTCAGTCTGTAATCATACCAGTGATAAACAAAATTGGAC